GTATATATGAACTTCATTACAGATAGAGAAAATTGTGTGTGGTTTCTAGAAGTGCTGTGTAGTTAACAACATCACCTGAGAGGAGGTGAACACGTTTTAGCCTTGAGCTTCACAAGGAGTCCTCTTCTGTTTGACAAAATATTTGATAATTTTAACTGCTCAAGAACAAATTACAAGCACAAGTAAGAGCTAAAGGAGAGATTTTTTTCATAATTAAATTACTTATTGTAATTCATAGGAAACCTTTGACTGCTAACACTGAAGAAGTTTTAAAATCTAGCTTGTCTGTTGCTCATGATTCTCTTCATTTTAAAAAAGATATCTCTTATTTACCTTTAAACTCAGTGAAGACCCTGGAGCTATTCACTGCTAGGGATAGATGAATTTATTTAATTTGTGGTGTTACCAATTTCTAATTTTACTTCTGTGAATGGATAGGAAGTCCAGATGGAAAACTGTAGAAAAGAATGTTTGCCCTTAAAAATAATAATAAAAAAACATATATTTGAAAATGTTACAGGAGGATTTTTGTAAACATTAAGGTTGGCTGAAGCCCATTTAATAAAAAGCGGGTTTTGTGACTGGTTTGCTCAAATGTCTTCGTACTTTTCTGATGCTCTTGAGAAGCTCTTCCAGCTTAAGGTGCTTTTAGTGAATCCTCTGTGGATATTTTCCTGAGAGTGCTGTATAAACAGATCCTAATGAATATGCAGGCATCGTGTGTGTAACCTAATATGTTTCAGCTCATCATGTTTTAAATGTGGCCCAAGACCAAGAGACTCCTCTCAGGTATAGCATGTAGGAAATGACAGAATGTGCAAAAAGACAGGCATAACCCTGCGCCACAGCAAACTCTATCCCAAAAGCCTCTGGAGAACCAATGATGAAAGATCTCATTAGACTTAAATGCACTAATGAAATTGCTTAATGTAGTTATTCTGAGTCTCTTCCACCAGATTTTGTTACAAGGAATGGTTTTCAGTGCCGGAATGGAAAAAATATTCCAGTTCACATGCAAAGCGTATTGTTAAAACCTGATGTGTTAAAGATAATGTTCAAGTCTAAATAATGATTAGTGCCAAAAACTTCAGGCCAACCGACTGCAGCCTTCATTCTTAATATTTTAGCTCTGTCTTAAGTCAGAAATTTAAGAAGACTGCAGAGAATTTAAACGTGCTTGAAAACTGAGCTTGACTTCAAATCAGTGTTAGGCTTCCTGAGAAATGGGCATTTTGTAAAAGATATTATAAATCTGTGGCTCTCTCCTACTGAGTTTTCATTCTTGGTAAGCCTGTTCTGAATAGGCGGTGTTGACCCTTTAACTCAGATAATATCAGTGTCCATATACATTGGGAGGTCTGTGCCAGATATTAGAATCCTGATAATAAAATGTTCTACAAATGAACAGAAATGTTACTGTAATACACAGAAGATTAGCACTACCTTTACCTCATTGCTTTAATATTCGTGTTAACACTAAACCAATACATAGAATATGTGGAACACCTTCCTAAAGTGAGAAGGTGAACAAATATTCAGTGGAATTGCTAAAGATTTGCTTGCTATCATTGTAAAGACAATAAATATTTTCAATTAGTTGTTGTTTTCAACTTGTTAGCACAATACAGTGTCAGAGAGTGTATTCTACAGAATGCCAACATTTCTGTCATGGGAGAGTGGATAAATTTACCAAAAGCAGGAAATTCCACGTTGAGGTTGATCCATCCTATAGCCTACATGTATTACCGTGAAAAACAAGTAAACAGTGAAGTGACATGGCATGAGCTAAGGATAGTGTGTCAGCCTTAAATCTGGAACATCCTCCCTTTTTCTGGCTAAGTACGGCAACCCGTTTATTTTAATAGGGAATAAATAAGAAGTCTGTCATAAAAGTTGATCTTCAACATATGTGTCATACCTTATATATTTGGATTTTGAGTTCTGAAAACATGATAGCAGATACGTAAAGAAATATGGCTCCTTGAATTTGCCTTTAATTAGTTTCTATCTTTCATTTAAGATGCCCACTTGGTTTGGGAGTATCGGCCCACCGTTTGTGTGTCGTCAGTGGGCTGTAAGACCCTCCTTAGCCCTTCAGGGTAATTGCGATGAGCTCTGCCCATTTCGTTGCGTCTTGAGCAGGTTTAGAAGGTGATGGTGAGGGTTGAAGCTCGCTGGAAACGTCATGTGATGTGTGCTGTGCTGGAGATGCTCTCGCTGGCGCAGCGCGGCCCTGTCCAGGGGCGACGCGCCGCAGGCCGTCTGCCGCTCGCTCTGCGCCGCCCGCCTCGGCCTGCTCCGGTGGAGGCCCACGCCTGTTCCTAGGAGCACTCACCAATGGTGCGACTCCCCTCTATGCTCTTAAAAGTGCTTGTGAAAACTGCACTCGGAGGAGGAGGAGGATGTATTGGGGGGCCCTTTGGGTTATAAACACATTGTAGTGAATTTATACTCCCCCTCCCTGAGGCTCAGGGGAGACCTTATCACCCTCTACAACTATCTGAAGGAGGTTGTAGTGAGCTGGGAGCCGGTCTCTTCTCCAAAATTCTTGCCGACAGGACAAGAGGAAGTGGCCCCAAGTTGCACCGCGGGAGGTTCAGATTAGATATTATGACAAATTTCTACATGGAAAAAGTGGTGAAGCATTGTAACAGGCTGGCCACTGTCCCTGGCAGTGTCCAAGAAATGTGTAGATGAGGCCCTTAGGTGCATGGTTTAGCAGGCATGGCGTTGAAGGGTTTATGGTTGGGCTTGATGATCTTGTCGGTCTTTTCCAACCACTATGACTCTATGTTCCTTGGGGGCTAGAGATGTCACAAGTGACTGAACAAACATTGCCTGCTAATGTCTAAGCCCTGAAGCATTTGTTGCCCATTTGCAAAAGAGATCGAACACCTACAAATAATAACCTTGGCTCCTATTTAAATCCTTTATTGTTTATTTAAAATAGCTGCCTTGGAAAGTCATTTTGGTGATATAGGATTGTTGCTATTGTATACAATTTTTATTATCCAGTTGTCTTGCTTATAGGTGAGACTCTTCATCTAGGTAGAGGCTGAGGGATTTGGTGAACTTTACTAGTGACTGTGTGTCCCTATGCAAAATATTTTACTTAAAAATAATGGACTGTGAAGAACACACTAGAGGAAATAAGACACAGAGCAAAATGCCACAAGCAGTTTTATGGCAATTGAAATTTATTCCTACTTGCCATAGGACTTTTTTGTGTCTATTTATATACATTATGGATAAAATATATGTGCATGACTGTTGTACTCTGCACCTTTGATATTTAATAGCAAATTAAACAACATTTATCCCTTTGACTATAGCCAAATTTTAAAACCTAGAACATTTGCTTTCTCAATATTTGTGTAGAAATTGTCCTAGTCCCTAGCAGCAAGATGATGCACCAAGGGATCACAAAATGAGAATACCATTATCTAGCATTAAGCTAACTCAATTCACTGGGAATCAGTCCAGAGAGCCAGAGAGGCAGCTGTCCCAGAGAAAAGGAGCAAATTTCCATTCTCGCAACACGAACCGTGATCTTTCAGCCAGACCTGCATGAGTAAAGACGTGGGCAGGGTCTCTGGGGAAGACTTCCATGAGATAGCAAGAAGGAAGGGGCCTTCCATAGAAATCCCGTTGGAGATGGCGGGGGGAATAGTTGCTTAGGGAATCTGGGGAATGGTGAATCGTTACCGAGGGGTGCTTATTTTATATAAATGTGCTAACAGCCTTAGTGATCCATAGGCTTGTGCTGAAAAGCTGTATGTTATTAGTTTGAAAAGCAATCATATTTTACAGGGAATCTGGAGAAAATAATCTTTTTCTGTCAGTATTAAATTGGAACAGCTTCTGTAAAGAAAAGAAACTACTTCAGAGGCAGCATTTACAAGCAGAAAATGAGAAGGGCTTATTTTTGGATGTGCTTTAGTTGGGTTTGGGTATTTTTTTTGGAGAAAGTGATTTTTCCCTCTAGAAGGAGTAAACTCAGGGAGCACACTGGCTATGCTTACTGCTCCATTCATCCATCTCCCATTTGCACAAGCAAAAACTTGTGTTTGTTGGGAGAAAACTGTCAGAAGGAGTGGGCCGAAGACTCAGGTTTTTCTTGACTGAAGATCATTGAGTGTGCTGTGCTATATCATACCAAAGTCCCAGAGTTGTAAAGAATTTTGTTATGATTTTTCCATCCCATAGTGAGTATGAACACTCTCTGGTTCGGTATAGACAGAAAAAGTTGCCTAATATCACCTCAGTATAGCTATGTGTCAGCATTAGGAATAGCAATTTATAAGGATGAAACATTTGAAATATATAAATAAGACCAGCTCTCTGTTTACTGCTGGTTCCCCTAAGCCATCACGAGAAGTCTACTTGAGATGAAAGCTAAAAATAGTCTCTGTTCATCCTTGTAAAATGAAGGAAACATGCAACGTGTTGTGATAAGTATGATAACTAAGTAGAGTAAATGGTCAGCACAGATTATATACTTGGCTTGGTATTTGAATAAACATGTATGTAAATGTTCTATTCAGTTACCACAATATCATTTGCATTGCTTAGCAGACAACTACTCAAAAATCTTTAAATTGATCTCTGTGTTATTTTTGAAAAATAAATTAATGTAAGTGAAGAAACATCATACACAAGCTATGAGTAACATTTGTGCATGGCAGTAACATGCAGAAACTTAACATCTAGTTTTTCTGGGAAAAAAAGAGGCAGGGAAGATGTGTGGAGGTTTACCTTTCTCTTAGAAGAGGCTGATGTGTACACCACTTTTTCCTGTGAAATGTATGAAACCGTAGCATAAATCAGAAAAAACTCTGTTTTTTCATAGCTTGCTTGGAAGGTGGGGGAGGTCACAGTGATAGTTTGCTTTGCTCACATAATACATTCATTTGCTAGTGAAGCAGCTGAAGGCTGGTATTTGTATTGCCTGGGTAGAGATGCTCTTGCACCACATTGACCTTCCCCTCTCTTGTCCGCAGGCTGCGAGAACACCACCGTGCTGCAATTAAGGTGATACGTAGGATGCAGTATTTTGTGGCAAAGAAGAAGTTCCAGGTGAGTTGTGAATAGAATGCTCCTTTTCCAAATAACCCATTTACTCTCCGTTGTTCCTCATAGGAGACCAATACAGTTCGCTTTGGTAATAGGGAGCTACGCCACTATTCCCTCCCTGCTTGAATAGAGTTTAGCAGCAGGTTAGTCAACTGTGGATACACTGGGAATAGGTGAAGTCCTGCAATGCCATCTGAATTAAAATGTTATTTTCTGCTAATGGACTTGATCTCTCACCTTACATGAGCCTAGTCCCCCTCTCACGATGCAAAACAGTCTTGCATGACTGAGCTGAGGTTACTGTCATGCTGCGTCAGGAGGATTGAGATCAAAATACTACCCCACCCTTGTGCCTGTCTCTACCTGGAAGTTAATGAAGTGCTGATAAGAAGCAGGGATGAAAATTTGTTAGTGTGTTGGAAGGTCTCTGCTGTGTTGGCTCTCCTCCCTCCTGAATAGGTAGGAGAAGAGCTCCTTCACCCTCAGTTCCCTTTGCTGCCGTAACCATCACTACACCAGGTTTTCTGTGTCTCATTCCCCTTGCAGTGGTGATGCGATACCATAACCATTTAACAGTGGCTGATTAACTTTGTTGTATCATCTGAATAAAAATTTGTTCTTTCAGACTTTCTAAGAATGTGGTGTTTAAATCAATGTAAGCAATCTAGTTTAAAAAAAAAAAAGTGTCAGCAGCCTTCGGATTGATTTAAACCAGATGAATATATAAATAAGAAATATATTACTTAAAATGAATTAATAAAGGACAGTCCCTGGAGAACAGGCTTCACAACTGAAAATGCAAAGAAACAGGCTGGCTTAACTGCCTGCATCTCTTTTCAAACATGACCTTGGCAGTAGTACTTGCAATAGATTAAGAACAGGAAAGTTTATTACTCTACACCATACCAAAAAAAAAAAAAAAAGGACCCAGGGTCCTTCGTCCCTGGAGTATTTGAAGGGCATGGAGGTTAGGAGCAAAAAGATGCTGCTGATTAATGGTCTGGGAGAGCATCGTTTTTCTCAGCTGAAGATATAAGAAGCTTGCTTGGTGCTTCGCAGCTTGGACTCGCAGTTCATCAGTGACATTTAGAAGAATTGCCTGTATTCTTTAGCAGTTGTCTATTTTCAATCTTTTAAATTGGTGAGCTGTTTTGTAGCTAAGCTTGACTGGCCTTATAAGAATTTCTTTCAGTTATGTTTAATGTGTTCATGCTGTAACCTCTTAGGCTTAAATCTTCCATGACAGGGAAGATTTTCTTGGATGGAGTGTGCTTTCAGAAAGTTTCTGCTGGAAAATTTCACCTGTTATTTTGCTTAGAGTAAAATGAAGAAAGACACAGTGTTCAGACTGCTTGAAAATATTTTTTGCAGTCATTTTCAGAGAACTCCTCAGCGTCTGGTGGTCAGGAGCTGTTACCTGGAAGGAGGTGTGTTCCACTCCTCTGATACCTCCTTTGCTAGTCTGTGAAAAACAGCCCAAATGTGGCCAGTTACATTAAACTTTAATTTACTCTCATTCTAAAACCTGACTGTGATCCTTTGGTCCACAGTAATTACTGAATCATTGCTCTCATAAATTTGGATCATAAAATATTTGCCATGGTATTAACTAAATTACTTCGAGACAAGAATTCTACACATTATATATCTACCTCCCAAGTGGGATTTGTCAAAAACAGACTTGGAAAATGCCTGAACGCTCTGTGCAACATTATCCACCTGGCAAATAAATGAAACTCCCCTGCGGCAGATGACTTGATAGAGGCTGAAAAAGCATTTCACTGAGGAGAATGGGACTATTCAGTTCATGCTTAAAACTTGTTGGTACTCGGTATCCCCTTTGCTAATCTGGCTTCTCAGTTGTACTCTACACTCTCTCATCTGCTAAAAGCCTGCTCCTGGCCATCTAGGAAATCCCTCAGCAAGGTTCTCTCTCGTCCTTTTTAGCAGTTTTGCTTCATCCTGAGCTATTAATATTAACTGTAAACAATGAACTGCAAATTTAAATGAAGCAGAAATACTTTGCAAGTCACTACTGCATACAAATATGCAGCTGTTTGTCAGAAGCAGAATATTCCAAAGAGAGTTTATAGGGAGATACCCGATACGTCTGCCTAATCTCTGAACACGGGGTTATAACCGAGTTGAAAAATTCAGAGAGCACTGAAGGTGCAGTTTTCAAAAGCACCTGCATAAGTTAATGAACAAAGTCACCTTGAAATTCTAGCCATAAGGTGCTTTTTTTTTTAAAGCTCCCGTAATTAGGAGATAACCGCTATCTTCTTTTGCGTAGATGTTGTAAATCAACTTTGTTCTATTGTGAGCACATAAATAGTCATAAGAAATTAAAATGTTTAAACATGTGCCAAGTAATAACTATACAGCTTCCACTAGTCAGCGCAACAACGTCTGCTTTACTTTAAGTAGAGCAGAATATGCATTCTTAAAGGTTAATCTTTAAGTAATTTCAACTGTAGTCCATTGGTTTATTTCTCTTTAAAAATAGCTGCAAAATAAATAGTTGCAAGGTCAGCAGTCAAAAGAAGTATTTTTTTAGAGATGCCTCCAGAGCTTCTGAGGGGGAACACATAGGAAGGAGAAGAGGAGGAAAGTTTTCCACAATAGGTCTCAGTTCTGCGTGGGTCTTGCAGTATGCCGGCTGCTTGCAGGGTACACCTGTGTGCCTAATTTTATGTAGATGGCTGCAGATGGTGATGGTACCACAAGAGCTAATGTCAGCTAGAAAGCACAGGCTTCATGTTTGAAAATAAAGGATATTTTAAAGGAGAAATGAAGCAGGCATATAAGGAAATTTCAGAGGACATGAAAAATAATGTGTGAAATTGTGTGAAACATCCCACATGTCCATCATTTCCCCTTTAAAAGAGGTAGATAAATGTATGCCCCATTTCAAATTCTAGGTTTGAATACAGTCCATAGGGTGATGTCCATGTAAGAACCCACCATAGATACCACTTTTATGGATGTGTTCCTGCTCCTGTGAGCAAAGTCCGTAGGGTTGTTTTAATCCATGGAGGGAAGCTGCTGTTGCTCCTGCGAGCAGTTAACGCAAGCCTTCCGTGTCAGTCACTACTGAATGAAAGGACGTCTAGGATGCTGAAGGACACTAGGGCTGGATGTCTTCAGCACAGTCTAATTCACTTACCCTATAATTGAATTTCAGAGGATGTACTACCATACTTGGTTATTTCCATCAGGTGAATTCAAGGATGAATAATATTTGTCTTCCAATTAAGAAAACTTCTAAGTTTCTTAAGACTTAGACATATGGATGTAACTATGATATCTAGCGACCAAAGAGCAGAGACTTGATCTGATTTCCCATGATAGTCATTTTGAAAGATTTTTTCTTTCCATGTACATTCTTCACTTCCTGATGAGTTAAATCATTTTTCTTCTGTATTTTTTTTTATTTTGTGTTCAGCTCTTCATATTGACAAATATTCTATACATGCCATAAACTAAAAATACAGCTTGTGGTTCCACCTGTAACACAAGTAACTGTTGCCTACTCTGTAACAATGTCACAGGAAACTCCTGCATTTATCGCCTTGTAATTCATCATCTTATGTAATTATTTGTCATGGGTATGAATCACAAATTCAGTGTGTAATCGTCTATAATCTCAGCACTGAGCTCTAGCAAACAATGCAGTTGAAAGTGCCCTGTGCATCAAAGGTTGTTATACCCATTTTATTTGGCTATTGTTCGGTTACATTTCCCAGAAATTCCCCTCACGTTGATTCCCATCTCCCTTTCCTCGGTCTAACTCTTGGACAGTTGTCTGTGCACGCAGCTACTAGGGAGCAATAGGCAGCTGTGCACATATTTAATGTTTGTCATTGGCTTTGGGGGTTTTTGCAAACTGTGTTTTTATGTGCAGTGAGGGAAATTCAAACTCATTTAAGGTGATTTTTTTCTCCATGACTATTGGTTAATTAGCTGAGAGGTGAATTAAGTTAAGGGAAGTTTTGATTGATTTTCCTGTTTATTTCTTCAGTAGTCATCCCTTGACTTTTGCATTTTTTTCCTTTTACAAACCAGCAAAGGTTTTGGTTGTCAACATCAGCATCATGATCATCGGCATATTTTTTTCTCTTGAACCTTTGCTTCTATTATCAGACACCTGCATCAGAGTAATGAGAAGTGCACGATGAAGCCCGGTGTAATTATTCTTTCTAAATTACTTTTCTGGTCATGTAAATGCTTCATCTGTTCAGTGTGAGCAGGGTGAGCTACGAGCGCTTGCAGAGCTGCAGCTGGGCTTGTTCGCGCAGAATGAGAGCTGGCTTGCCGGAGTGCAAAAGCAGGTGATGAGTATGGCTATGTGAAAGCATGCTGATTTTTGGAAGAAATGCTTTAAATGCATTCACTATAAGCATTTCTCCAACATCTCTCAGAGCGTTAATACATTACAGATGGCCACGACCAAATTTATTTTACTCTATTAGCTTCTGATTGTACTGGAGGCTGCATGATTCACATAAGTTTGTCTTCAGCAATGGGTTGGATCCAAACTATGAAGGTAAATGCATTTTAAATCAGAGCATTCAAAGATCTGACTCTGCCAGAATTGCCAAGTTCCAGAGATATCACATTGATGTAATTCTCACTTTTGTGCAAGTTGTAAAGGGCCGTGCATAGTTGAATAGCAGATGTTACATGACAAACAAGCTTGAAAAGGAGATCTAACTTGTTATATGGAAGAGCTCATATTTTAAATGAACCCAGGCCAAATGAACCAACCTACCAAGATAATGCTGTGCCTGCCTCTTCAAGCTGCAGGGCTTCTCTTTGCTGAGTTATCAAAATGGGAGTCAGATGGCTTTTGAAATGAGCACAGCCAAGTGGCAACTGTGCAAAACTGGACAGGTCTTCGGAAGCTTAGAATAAATCCTGGGAACAAGAACCTGTGGAAAGATGGCAGCCAGAGCTAAGAGGAATTGCGGACCAGCCTCTCTAAAGTAGGTGGTTAGTACATAGGGTTAAGTAAGGTAGGGTTAGGGTTTAGGGCTAGGGTACTGTGCTAAAGTGCGAGAGAAAACGAGAGTGTGAACCAAACCTGAGCCTCCCAAGTCACGTGTGAAACTCCAAAAATGATTGTAGCCAAGAGCCCTTTCCTCCCCTTTCCGCACTTTCTTGTGTCAATCAGCTCTAAGTAGGCACACATTAATAATAGGCCTATACACCTCAGAGATCATACAATTAAATATAGGAAAAAAGCGTTCAAGACCCATTAAAGATGACTGCAAAGTAGGCTCTGTAATGCAAAATGTAGATGTTGGGCAATCAGAACTGTATTCTGTACAACTTGCCATGAGACATTCACTCTGAAATGCTCAGGGTAAAAGGTTGTTACTTTTAGCTAAACTTTATGAGTTATAACATACTTATTTTCTAAGGAGGGATGCTTCTTTATTATTATTATTATTATTACTATTATTATTATTATTATATCCGGGATATAGCAAATTACAGGTATAGGTCTTTCTCCCCAGTTGTTTCTTGCACCAATATTTTGCCAGAATTTCCAAGTAGATTTGAATGTGGAGCCAGTCTTTCTGGAAAAGGAAATCAGTCATGCACCTTCAACCTGGGCTCTGGTTTAAGCTTCTTACATTAAGAGCTGAGCTAAAGACTAAGGCCTTTTTGTTGCTGACTCAGAATAAAGATGTGTGCAGGCAAAATACAGCTTTCCTGGCCCATGAGTATAGAACTTATTTCTACAAGAAATGAGAATCACCACAAACTTTTGAGAAAAGTGCAAGATATACTTTTTTCTTTGACCTCAAATTCTGTTGATAATCTCTTGAAAAGCGTGTGGTACACCTGTGGTACCAAAAAGGGAGAATCATATCAGGACCATTATCATTATTCTACAATCAATATATGAAGTATTTCAAATGTTTATATTGTGTTTTGGTAAACAGATTTTTTAAAAAAGCTTACCATTTACTCTTGTAAACAAGTCTGTATGGACGTGGCTCATTGGTATGTTCTTGTGGCTCTTGTGTTTTGTTCCACAGCAAGCTAGAAAGCCTTACGATGTGCGAGATGTTATTGAGCAGTATTCCCAGGGCCACCTCAACCTGATGGTGCGAATCAAGGAGCTGCAGAGGAGGTAGGACAGTGACGCCCTGTGTCCCTATCCGTGAGCACCAGCACATGGGTGGTAGTAAGAAGACAGCGATTTAAGGCCGTGCATCAAAATCTGATAGTGTTAAAAGTAGTGTTTTGGTAACATTGTACAAAGTTACTGAATTTAAATATGAGATTGAGGTAAAGGTTTCTATTTAGAGAGGATGCAAAAGGGAGAGGTCTTAAACTTCTGGGAACCAGGACCTACTGTTTTTGTTTTATCTATTTATATTGTCTTAGTGCACGCTAGGTTGCCTAGAGCCCATAACCTGCTGATGGTGTCGGGTGCTGTCGGGGAAATAGGGCGCCCGCACCGGTAGCGTCACTGCGAGCGCAAACAGAGCGCGAGTGACAACAAGTCACCAGTCATTAAAAACCCTAAAGATCAGTATGTCTGATGCCTTCAGTGGCTATTTCACTTCCGACTACTAAGCAGACCTACTTGAACTTCGCTTCACTTCTGTGAAGCAACCCCATGCTTCCAGCTCGAGAAAGGAAGGATGATATTTGAGGCTGATCAAAGCTAACAATGTCTCTTGCTTCTCTTTTCTTTTTGTGTATTTACAGGTTGGATCAATCTATAGGGAAGCCATCTCTTTTTATCTCCGTCTCAGGTAAATTAACTTACGCTCTACTGCTATAACACTACAGCAAATACAAAATGGAGAGCAATAACACTAAAATTGTGATGGAGAGCAGCATGAATACCTGCTGAAGAGACTGCCCCTTCTTTTTCCTTGCTCAGTCCTGTAATAATGTGGGGTTTTCCATGGCAGCCTCCATGAAACTAATACTCTTTACCTCTATGTCTGTTTTAATCATCAATCAGTAAGACTTGAAGCATGGATCTCAGAGCTGACTATGAGGGATATGTCTAAAGTTAATCTGATTAAGATATAATTAGTGAAAAATACTTGTAAAAACTTCTTATTTTGTTGCCAAGTTTTCAAAGTTGCTAACCTGTTATGGTCTGAAGCTTAGGTATCAACAGTAATAGTTAGCCGCCATCACCCTTAAAACAGGGCTGTTTTTATTTACATATTTTAAGTACCTACTTTAGAGTTTTAAAATATTGACTCTAATCTCTCTGAGATTCAATTTTTTTTCAGTAAAATAGCATGTTCTTGTTGCAGAGTTTCTATGAAATCAGTTATGTTCACATAGCAGTGATAGCTTTGAAAAGAGCACAAGGTACTAAGGTTGATTTGAGACAAGGCTGACTATTCAAAACTCTGTTAATGTTATTTCAGGCCAGAGTTTCTATATAATTTATAGGAAAAGAAGATAAAACATTATACAAGCACATTGTTCAGGTTGGCTGTGGAGCCTTTTGCACAGCGCCAGATTGTTTTTAAACTGCAATTAAAGCATTAACTAAACTGGGAACTGTTTTGTTCTTCCAGGTTAAAGCATAAAATTAAGGTTGAGAGTGCCTTAAACCTAAGGGCTATTAAAAGCCATGGCTTGGGCTAATGCTATAAAAAGAAACAAAAAGCTGCTTTTAGGAAATAAAACTACCAGCCTGGCAAAGGTGTTCAGTTACACTGCGTTGGTGGGCTTGTTAAACACACCCTGTTGTGGCTTACTGCTATTTTGTTATAACACCATATATTAATTTGCAAATGTTTCTTGTTGCACAGAAAAAAGCAAAGACCGAGGGAATAACACGGTTGGTGCCAGGTTGAACAGAGTGGAAGACAAGGTAGGCTTCAGTTAGACTGGCCCTGAATGAGGACCTGGTATGTTCCTGAACAGTGCTTGTTTCATGGGATGGGGGGAAAAATATGGCTTAAAACAGAGCTGAACTCCTGGTTCTTCCAGGTGATGGGGTGTAATTTTTGGTATGGATTGCATTTTTTGGTTCTTTGTTGTCTTTTTAACAGAATATGAAAAAGCAGACTTGATTCCAGTCTCTCTTGGTATTCCTGTGGGTTTTGCTTCTTGTTTGTATATATTACACATGTCTCAATGCTCTCCTTCTTTCCTTCACAATAGATAAAAGACTCTATTCCTTTAATACTTGAGTGTATTACAGTCACAGGATTTCCCTTTGATCATTGTTCTGTTGTTTGTGTAGCTCCACCTACAATTCCATAGAGAGAATGAGAGAAAATCTTGCTCTGTCTTGGTTTTCGTTCTTGATGGCAAATGGAGTTTTTCCTTTAAGTGACACAAAGCCAGAAAAAAATCAAACTTGTTCTTTAATTGCAAATTAACAGTTAAATTCTTTGTACTGTTTTTATTTCAATGCTAGCCATGCTTGTAAAATTAGATGACAGGCAGAAGCTATGTAATTACCAAGAAATACGGGTTTGCATTTGTTGGTGTTAAGGAGAGAGGGAGAGAAAGGGGTAGGATCATTTGTGATCTCTCATCATGATTTGATGGTGGTGGTTGGGGAGGGGTAAAAAATTTCTTTAAGCTTAAGGTTGTTTTCACTTATGTGTCCTGTCTGTTAATTCAGCAGTGAACAGTCAGGGTGTGGGGGGAAAGTAGCTTTCATAGTGTGTTTTATCCACAAGTGGAAGCCTTGTATGTGGCAGCCTTGCACAAGGGTTTGTTCTGAAGAAATATCCAACCCTGTTCTGCAAACTGAAAGGAATGGGCAGGACATCCAGACTGTACTCCCCAACCTCTGCTGATTTGTCTGTGACATATCTGTTCCTTACATGTTTTGTTGCCATACATAAGATAAACTTCTATTTAGTGTCAATAAATAGCAGGGAGCAGCTGTGTTACCCTCTGTGTAGGGTGACACTAGGAGGGAGTCAAATAGAAAATAGAAAAGTCTAGTGCATTTTGCCCAAAGAGGCATCACTGCGCAGTGCTTGCCAAGAGCTGCGATAAGTGAACTTACAGAAAGAGGGTCTTTCTAAAAAGTTTGGTTTATGTTTTCTAAAATCTCCTCTCCTCAATGTCAACTGAAAGTGTGGAATGTGACAAAATGTCTAGTGAGTGCTGACAAAGGGCAACGACTCTCCGTTTTGGACAAATAAATCTCAAGTTGAAATAGATTCTCGGTTCTGTTTGTAAAATCTCAAATGAACATGGGAAAACTTCAGCGTTGTTCTGGTTTGGACATAATCTACTTTGGTTACTTTTGGTTATTATTTACTCTGGTTACATCCTTACAAATAAGTACACCATGAATTTATAGTGACCGTTGTTTTATGTCTTGTAATGGGTCTGTAAAACACTCTGTTTCATTTTAGTGTATCTGGGTTAAATTTTAGCTTTGTTTTAAGTAACAGGCCCTTCTTTCTTTGTAGTTGCATGAGCTCATCTGTGGTTTCAGGTTTGTATGTTATCTGACCCATGCAGCTAGTCCTATCTGCGGGAATTTTATCTGAAAGTAGCTGAAAGGCTAAAAATAGAGCAATTCCTTCGGAGCAGGCAAACGGGTGGTATTCTTGACAGCACCCTGACAATGGTGAAGTGGCATTTTTTGCTGCAGATGACGGCCAAAGTTAGGGTTCTGTGTTCTCAGTTGGCCTTCTTTTTGTTTCTCTCTAAACTCTATGCTACGAGAAGGACTTTCAGCACCCCCCTGAATCCTTGCGGAGCTGCATCCTGCATTAAGGACAGGAGGCTTCTCTGCAGGCCCCCTGAACATGCGCTGGTTTTCTAGTGCTCCTTTGGCAGTGGGCATGAGCACCTGGGTTGCAGCAGGAGACTGCTTGGGGTGCGGCCAAAGCGTGAACGAAGTTGGATCGCTAATAAAGTATTCTTTAATTTGATTTTGGGAGGAAAAGCAGCACTAGGTTAATGTACCTGTGTATGACACTTCCCATTCATCTTGTGCGTGGAGTGAAACGTTGGTCTTGTGGTTGTATAAATGTAGCTTGTGATAATGTAATTAAAGATCGTTTCATAGTATGCAGACACCATGGGGATGGATTAAGGTTGCAGCAGCAAAAAAAAATCCTTCCTAGGCGTTTTTCATTTTAACGTGTAATTGAGAAGACGGTTTTATCTGCAGAACCGGAACCCGCAGAACCTGCTACAGCTGAATAAGAAGAATCCCGGTGCAGTCGGAGCTCGCACCCGAAACATCTGCGAGTGACTGTTCACGTTACCCTCCAGAAACCTGGCCGCTGCTGGCTTGCTCCCAAGCTGGAAATCAAAAGCAGTTTCCCAAACAGGCACAGCTGCGCGCGCCCCGCCGCTGCTCCGTGCGCAGCATCCCGTGGGATCCCGCGGTTCCGCGCAGGGCGCGCTCGGGAGCTCCGACCTGGAGCGCGTCCACGCCGCGCGCGAGGGCCGGCACTGGCTGCGTCTCCTCGTTGCTTGAAGTTTTATCTCGGCTATGGTGATAGCCTGAGTTAATCTGTTCTTATTCAGCTGGTAGTTGTATTGCGCATAACAGGCCCAGCTTGGGCTTTTCTGCTCGTCATGTGAGCTCATTGCTTGGCTTCCCTTGGATAATTCAAGCTTAGGCATGGGCGTTGTAGCAAGTCATACAGAGAAGGCAATGGTTATAGCCATCCCAAGCAATTTTCTGGGTGCCCCCTCTGCATTCTCACATCTATGCTCGTACCTGACCATCATTAAGTATAGGTATTATATTAGCAAGGTCACCACTAACATTTTATAATATTTTTTTTTAATTCTATGGAATGTTAAAAATAATATTTTCTACTGCTAAATTTGAAGCTGTAGGGATTTAAATGGAGATTTCTGTGTTTGTACAGAAGTTGCATAGTAGAAAGGCATGCAACACCCTTTAATATGAGCCTAGCAATTTTCCAAAACAATGTTCATTCCAAGTATACACACATTTTGCACACTTACATTTGAAAATATCATCCCTTGCACTCTGAGTAGTGCCCAGGAACAAAATGCAGAAATTCAAGCATGTTGTGCAGCACCAAACAGGGAATCGTTTTACTTTTTTATATTTAGTTTACAAACATCTTGGACCACTTTCTAATTTTTTTTTTAATGTATAAAAACATCTAAAATAGATCCTACTGTGCTTCTCAAGTTACCCACTAGCAATCAGAGCTGCTCTTGAAAAGCAAAGTCTGAAGGGAGCTCTCTTGTTTGGGTAAGATAGCTGTTGTTGTCCTAGCTATGGTAATCTGTTTTTTCTCTTTTCCACCTACACTGTCTTTGATTGTTAAATGTATAGATCCCACATTCAGTAAAACTGTAAGTATATGATAGACATGATATATTTTTCACTAATTGCTCCATACGAAACTTTAAAGGAGAGAAAAGCTCAAAGGCTTTATTTGTGGTGGCTTTCCAAAAAGGTGGAGACGTGATTTGCCACGCTTATATGTGGTGTCGCGTTTTCTTCAGGCTACATCATTTTGTGTAGCAGCTGCAACAAAATATTGCCACTGTTCCTAGTCATATTAGAAACAGGTTTGCTTAGAACCCTGTTAAACAGGGTCTGGCTGGAGGGTGGTATGTCTAGGTCCAGTTAGTGATGGTCGCTATTCTTGCTCTTTCTTGCTATTGCTGTTTGATTTGGATCAACTAGTAGTTCCTCTCTGCAAAAGGTTTTGTATCTAATTTTACTGCTGCTGATTTATTCAAAAATATATGAACTTTTTGTGTTAGATATGGTGGAGAAATATCTTTGGAAGTCTGCGTAATCTGCAAGTGTTTGGTTGTATTCAGGAGGTGCATTTCCATACAAAGGAAGATGAGGGACTTATTCACCGTTTAAGTGAATAATTCTAATACTAAGGGCATGACCCACAACCTTTGCTGAGCTCTGGTTATTATGGTTTGCATATGTAAAATTTAGAGAGGCTAAAATTTAGTGTGGTTGTTTCTCTTATTTGTTGTCTCACCTTTTTCTTTTGAGATGCAATTACATCCTTATCTGTAGCAGGAAGATTTTGTCCTAGCAGCACTGACTTCCTAAACGCAGATGAAAAGCCAGCTTGCAAACGCTTTGTGGACCAATGCATGTACGTGGGTATTTTTGTAGCTTAAGGATCTTCCCTTCATCATTAGTGCAAAAAAAAAAAAAACCACTTAAATGCAATTAAATGTTAACATCCAGCCCTCGTCTTGTCTCTACTCATCATTTTCTTAAGCATATAACTTTTTCCTCGCATTGAGAACTGAAAAACAACAAATTCATGACTTTTCCAAACTTTTTTTTTTTTTATGGGCCTGAATTCTCTGTTGTATCCTGCCTAGGAGGATTATCCTAAGGAGGGCTAGGAGGTTTATCTGTTTGGTCAGTTTGCTCTATTCCATTTCTGCTCTCCTTGCGTGTAATTCCTCCGTTATTAAATCGGATGCTTTACTGTATCACAAGTTAAACTGTAATCATGCCATTTCTAATAAAGAACTCCCCGTGCATCCAATGCAGGAAGATTTAGGACCTGCTCCAGAGCCCGTTAAAGTTGATCAGAGTGTCTCCTTTGACTTAGCTTTGAAGCCAGCCTTTTAATCAAAACATACTGGAGTCGCAGGGATCCAACATTCCAGCCTCGCTCCATCAGGGCCGGCAGAGGCACTAAGCTCTATCACAGCTGTGTGCTTTTGAGAGGGTTTTTTTTTTCTTTTGGCTGATGTGATGCACTTCTGCGTAGGAACATGGATGTGTTACTTGTATCACAGCCTTTCTGTCACTGTAAGTGGCCGTCGGAGTCTGCGCTTATGTGTGTCTCATTGCTGGATGCTCCATCTCTGGCTGTGACAGCAGGGTATGAAAAGGCTGCAGTGTGTGAAGTAGCC